AGTTCCGCCGTGTTCTGAGCTCACAAGGAGTATTGAGCTCACTGTGGAGATGGACCCTTCTCCCCTCTCGGCCTCCCATCCGCTCCCGTCGTTTCTGGTATTTTAAACACGATTTTCGCTCCCTGCCCCCATCTCTCTCACACATGCATCCAGCCAGGCACCCTGACCTTAGTGAGGCTGAATGAGTGCAGAGGTGACGGAGGTGATAAGAGGCATACTGGGTGCTGGTGCTGAGCCAGTTGGAAGCACTCAGAAGCGGGGGCCAGGAAGACATGGCTCCCTGAGCACCCTGGCCCGGGCACCTGTCCCTGCTCTTCCTATGGCCTCTGCCCAAGACTCTCACGTCCGGAGGGGGCCTGAAGGCAGAGAGTTGGTGGTGCTGAGGCCCGGGCTGCAGCGTGGGCACAGGCGGCCGTTTGGGTCCCATCTCCCTGCTAACCCGGACGCCCACCTTTCCCTGCAGGTACCGAGGCTTCATCCTGCTGCTCACCTTCCTCATCTACACGTGTTATCACATGTCCAGGAAGCCCATCAGCGTGGTGAAGGTGAGGCTGGCCTTACGATTGGGAAAGATGCAGGAGATGCCAGAGAAATACACTCTAGGCGAGGGGCCGGGACTCGGGCCAGGACCGCCCTCCTCCTTACAGCGGCCACCGAGCCTGCTCCTTCGCCTGGCGGCTCCCTCTGTTAGTAGCCCTGCTGTTGCAGAGAACCGCCCTAGCGCTCCTGTGAGCAAGGACCCCGGGCTCTGTGGGCTCTGCCTTCACTGAGGGTCCGCTGTGGCCACCTGTCCCTATACCAGGTCCTGCAGGGGAGGTGCCAGAGGCCGGAGCAGAGGTTGGGGGGGGCGGGGGGAGGCAGTGGCGCTGGTGTGGCTGGGGAGGGAGCTGCTTGCTCCTCTCGGCCTGAGGAGACTGAGGGGCCCCTGGCCTGTGTATCCCATTGTCTGTCCAGAGCCGCCTGCACCAGAACTGCTCAGGGATCATCCAGCCCCCCAATGCCACCCACAGTCCCAACGACACCACGTGGTGCAGCTGGCCTCCGTTTGGTAAGAATGGGGCCAGTTGCTCCCCCTCCCTCCCCAGGAAGGGGGTCCAGGGCCTGAGGGAAGCCCATCAGCGTGGTGAAGGTGAGGCTGGCCTTACGATTGGGAAAGATGCAGGAGATGCCAGAGAAATACACTCTAGGCGAGGGGCCGGGACTCGGGCCAGGACCGCCCTCCTCCTTACAGCGGCCACCGAGCCTGCTCCTTCGCCTGGCGGCGGGGGGGGGGGGGAGGCAGTGGTGCTGGTGTGGCTGGGGAGGGAGCAGCTTGCTCCTCTTGGGCTGAGGAGGCTGAGGGGCCCCTGGCCTGTGTATCCCATTGTCCAGAGCCGCCTGCACCAGAACTGCTCAGAGATCATCCAGCCCCCCAATGCCACCCACAGTCCCAACGACACCACGTGGTGCAGCTGGCCTCCGTTTGGTAAGAATGGGGCCAGTTGCTCCCCCACCCTCCCCAGGAAGGGGGTCCAGGGCCAGAGACGCCTTCCTGCAGGGGCAGCCGAGCAGCGAGCTCAGCTTTCTGTCTCCCCCTCCTGCTCCCAGACCAGGACAACTACAAGGAGCTGCTGGGCGCCGTGGACAACGCCTTCCTGGTGGCCTATGCCATCGGCATGTTCATCAGGTGAGCGAGGCAGAGCCGGGGTGGGTGGTCCGCAGCCGCTGCCGCCCTCCACTTGCCCTCACCCGGCAGCGGGTCAGTGAACGAGCCGCCAGCTCCCCGGGTGGAAATGAGAGCAAGACTTCTGCACGTGCGCTCAGCCACAGCCATTCTCGTTTCCCCGTGTGGTCACTCCCACTTCCAGTAGCTCTTTTCCTGGAAAGCCTTTCCCGGACGCTCCTTCCGACTCTGCACGGGGTGGCAGGGTCCATGGTGTGGCTGGAGTGCGGTTTGTTCTGGACCCGAATCCTTCAAGGGGGAGGGCTGGACGCAGAAACGGGCAGGAAACCCTGTCCTGTCATGGCCCTCCATTAGCCAGGCAGGCCTGGTGTTTGTCACCAGGAGTCCGGCAGGTACCACCTCCAGCAAGCGCACAGCCTGACGGGACCAGCAGCAGCTGGTGCACAACAGTGTGGTGGCTCTGTGACAAGTGGCTCTGGACGCTCCGGCGGCTCTAGGATGGCCACTTAGTCCAGGCCGGGGTCGGAGAAGAGGGGCTAGGGAAGGCTTCTTGAAGGAGATACTGTTGGCACCAATGCAGAGAGGGGCGTGGCAGTGGGGAAGAGGCGAGGCAGGAGGCTAGCATGGGGCAAGTAAGGAAGAGGGAGGTGGAGGTGGCATGGTCAGGGCTGGGGTGGGGGTAGCAGCAGGAGATGGGCTGGAGAATGAGCCATGTGGCCAGGCCATGGGCATAGGAGAGCGTTGGAGGGTTTCACTCAGGGTGTCGTGTTCAGATTTACATTTCAGACAACCCACTCCGAGGGGGATGAGAGGCAGGTAAAGGGAGGGCAAGGCCGAAGGCCTGGTTATGCCAGGAAGCAGATGGATGACAGTGCAGCTACACTTAAAAATATATATATTTTTATTGGTTCCAGAAAGGAAGGGAGAGGGAGAGAGAGATAGAAACATCAGTGATGAGAGAGAGTCACTGAATCGCTGCCTCCTGCACACCCCACACTGGGGGTCGAGCCCGCAACCTGGGCATGTGCCCCGACCGGGAATCAAACTGTGACCTCCTGGTTCATAGGTCGACGCTCAACCACTGAGCCACACTGGCTGGGCGCAGCTACGCTTTGAGGAGCTCTTGCGTTAGAAGAGCAGGGATAGAGGTGGAAAGACGACATGCTAGAAACTGAGAGTAGGATTGGTGGGTTTGGAGGTTGAACGTGAAGGGTGGGAAGAGGAGGCAGGGGACTGAGGTGGCTCTGTGGTTTCTGGCTTGAGTGGCCACGGGCGGTGGTGCCATTCCCTCCGATGAGGGCACCGGGTAGGGCTGGGTAGGGCGTGGAGGAAGAGTTCAGTTTTCGAGTGTTGAGTTTCAAGTGTTTGGGGTTCTCCAGGCCAAGATGTCCAGAAGGAAGTATCTGGATGTGCTGTCCGCTCTGGGGGAGAGAGTGGACTGAAAAAATTCAGTGGTAGTTACAACCGCAAAAGTGCTGCAGGAGAGGCTCCCAAGAAAATCAATGAGGAGGCGTGGTCAGCCAAGGGGGAGGGGCTGAAACCCTCAAGAGTGGCATCGAGCAGGCCAGGGGGAGAGCAGGAGTGTGGTCAGCAGTTTCAAATAAAGCAGAGAAGCCTGGTGAGTGGAGGGCTGCGAGTGTCCCTGGCTGTGGCAACACAGAAGTCTCTGGTGGTCACCTTGACCTGAGTCGCCCCACCCAGTGGGGTATTGGGGGGAAAAAATGGAGGCAGGGTTGAGGAGTGCAGATAGCGGGACCAACCACAAACCTAACTCTGTTCTCCAGTGGGATTTTCGGGGAGCGGCTCCCCCTTCGTTACTACCTGTCGGCCGGAATGCTGCTCAGTGGCCTCTTCACCTCGCTCTTTGGCCTGGGGTATTTCTGGGACATCCACGTGCTCTGGTACTTCGTGCTCATTCAGGTATGAGCCTCCGTCTTGCTCTCCGGCCTCTGTTTCCATCTCAGGAAGAATCTAGTCTCCCTTGGCCGCCCCAGGTCATGGCCGAGGTAGGCCCTCATGCCTCCTGCCCAGCCCATTGCTCTTCTGTGATGCCCCATAGAGCCCCACCTCCCAGGGTCATGCATTTGCCCGCTCAGTAAGTCTGCACTGAGCACACTCCGGGTCGCTACGGTGCCTGAGCCTGGGTCTCTGCCGCAAAGGAGCTTGGGCCTCTGATGTTACACCTCCCCAGCCTGGGATGGGTCAGAGCAGGAAGTGGACAGCATGCTGGGCCTGTCCCACCTGCCTGCTCTCTCCCTGCAGATCTGCAATGGACTCGTCCAGACCACAGGCTGGCCCTCGGTTGTGACCTGCGTGGGCAACTGGTTTGGGAAGGGGAGGTGAGTGTGACAAAGGAGTGTGAGCAGGAGGTTCCCCGGGAGGGCGGGGGTAGTGCGGAGGTCACTGGGTACACGATTAGGAACGTGCCTCCGTTTGGCCGACTTGCATATGCTGAGTGAGATAAACATGTCAGTGACAAAAGCAGTATTGATTTTCTATTGATTAGGTTTTAACCCATAAAACAGCGACTTTAATTATGCTTCTCCTCATAATAAATGAATTAACATTTCTCCTAAAGGCAAAAAAGAAGACTGTAAAACTGTGGGGTTTTTTTTTCTTCCTTGAGCTGGCTTTTCTTTTTTTAAACATATTTTCATTGATTTCAGAGAGGAAGAGAGAGAGAGAGAGAAGAAACATCAATGATGAGAGCGAATCATTGATTGGCTGCCTCCTGCATGCCCACACTGGGGATTACAACCCAGACAAGTGCCCTGACCAGGAATCAAACTGTGACCTTCCTGGTTCATAGGTTGACGCTCACCACTGAACCACACCAGCTGTGCTTGGGCTAGGTTTTATGCAAAAAAAAAGGTTGCTTTCGGGCAGGACTTCTCACCTCGGCACTGCTGGCATTTGGGGCTGGAGGATTCTTGGTCATGAGGGCTAGCTGTGTACTGTAGATGCTTAGCAACATCTGCCCACTGGATGCTGCTAGCGCGTCCTGAGCTGTGACAGTCAAAACTCTCCGGACATGGCCCCTGGCCCCTGGGGGTTGAGGCCCCGTGCTTTAGAGTTACAGCTACAGGAAAGGGAGAAGGGGGGGGTGGGAGTCTTGACCCCTGAGGACAGCAGAGCTCTGCTGACAGGCCCTGGGTGCTGGCTCAGGTCTGCAGGCCTGGCTGTCCCTCGTCTGATCCCAGCCATTCCTCCCCTTTTCCTGGCACGGAGGCTGTAGGCAGCCAGCTTTCTGCACTTGACCACGGCAGTCAAGGTGAACTCTCTGCTTCTCTTTTTACTTTTTCTGCTCCTCATCTTCCCTCACTCTCCCCCTCCTCCCCTCCCTCCAGGCGGGGGCTCATCATGGGCATCTGGAATTCCCACACCTCTGTGGGCAACATCCTGGGCTCCCTGATCGCCGGCATCTGGGTGAGCGAGCGCTGGGGCCTGTCCTTCGTGGTCCCGGGCATCATCACTGCTGTCATGGGCATCGTCACCTTCTTCTTTCTCATCGAGTGTGAGTGGACCCTCCCTCCCCACGGGGCCGCAGCTCTGGGAGAAGGCAGCTGGCTAGGGGAAGATTCCTGGTCACAGAGCGGGAGGACCGGATGTGGGACTCGGGACAAGCAACCATTCGGAGCCTCAGTTTTCTCATTTGTCAATGGGACCAACAGCTTGTCCATCCCGGGGCTGGTGCAGGTTTAGGCGACACAGGAGGTTAGAATGGCTGCTGCTAGTTGGTATTTGGCAGATGCTGGCTGAGTATGAGGGGTGAAGTGGGAAGGGCGGAGGGTGGGAGTGTGGACAGGACACTCCCACATTCGCTGTTCTCATCCCATCCCTGCCAGCCTGAGTCAGGCAGCCCAGGTAGCAGGGCCACCTGTAGCAGGAGAACGGAAGTCCCGGAGGCATTGGTGACAGGGCAGGTGATGGAGAGCCGGGCCTAGAGCAGGTGGGCGCCACGCCCCAGCCCGGCTCCAGCTCCCTCATGGGGCCACTTGGGTGTGGGGACCAGTCCCAGTGCAAGGGGAGGGCCCGGCCTGAGGAAAGCTTCTTAGAAGGTTTTTGTTTCAGACCCAGAGGATGTGGACTGCACCACCCCTCAGCACCACGTGAGTGTGCACCCCCACCGCTCCCTGCCCTCCCACTGCACCCCCAGACAGGGCTGGGCATCGGAGGAGGAGCCCTGAGCCCAGTTACCTCACAGGCCCCATGTCAGGCCCTTGGATTGGCTCCTTGCAGCCTGGGGTGGGGGTGGCTCAGGCGGTTACTCCAGTCCTGAGAGGGACCCGTACCTCTTCCCACTTCTGAGCCCCTGCCTCTCACGAGGGTCTCCCCTCCGGCCGGCAGGAGGGGGCACATGGACGTGCCCACAGCACGGTCTCATCTCTGTTCAGGGGGAGTCGGAAGAGAAGCAGGACAGCCCTGAGGACCCGGGGAACAACCCCTACTGTCACCAGGAGAGCAGCCTGGAGGCAGCCGCCGGATGCTCCAAGGAGCCAAGCGCTCAGCCCGCTGCCATCAGCTTTTGGGGGGCACTCATGATCCCGGTGAGAAGCCGGGGGGGACGGGGAGGAGAGGGGCTCTCTAGGTTTCTCGGTAGGATGTCAGGAGAGGGGGTTGCAGGGTGCTCTGTGGTTTCCAGGGTTTCTTCAGTCGGCTTGTCTGGACACAGCGTTGGAGCGGCGCACACACTGCTCTCGCTGACAGTGGGTGTGGCTGGAGGTGCTTTGGGTGGTGGGGGGTGCAGGGTGCTGGGAGGTGCTCAGCTGCCCCGGGGGCCGCACCCTTTTCTCATCCTGCCCTCTGCTCCGCTCCCAGGGTGTGATCGAGTTCTCTCTGTGTCTGCTCTTTGCCAAGCTGGTCAGCTACACCTTCCTCTACTGGCTGCCCCTCTACATCTTCAATGTGGGTGAGTTCCGGGGAGAAGCGGCGAGGAAGGGGGCTCTGGTCCGAGAGGAAACCATTGCGTGATGCGTGTGATTCCAGGATGCAGGAAGGATCTCGGTTGAGCCTCTCGGAGGGCAAAGGGCGATTTTTATTTATTTTTTTAAAAAAATATTTTTATTGATTTCAGAGAGGAGGAAAGAGAGAGAGAGAAACATCAATGATGAGAGAGAATCATTGACCGGCTGTCTCCTGCACGTCCCACACTGGGGACCGAGCCCGCCACCCGGGCATGTGCCCTGACTGGGAATCGAACCGTGACCTCCTGGTTCATAGGTCAATGCTCAACCACTGAACCACACCTGCCGGGTGCGATTTTTATTTTTAAATACAAAGATGAACCTTGTATGCTACCCCTCAGGCCCTGACTCCAGCCACCCTTCCGTCCTTGGGTCTGAGTGGGGAGTTAGGACCTGGAAGCTCTGTTCTGTAATCCCCCCCAATGTCTCCATCCTTTAGTGCAGGAGAAACCCACCTCCAGGCTGCTGGGCACCTAGGTGGGCGGGATTGGAGGGCTCTAGAAAAGGCCTGCCTTTTGAATGCTCCTGCAGTTCCCTGAGATTCTGCCAACCCGGGGAAGACCTGGTGAGCCGCCCCCACCACTTGTAGCCTGGAGGGGAACACTGTTCTCTCCAAGGGGCTGCCGGGAGCCTCATGGGACTCTGCCCTGTGCGGGGTCGGCGGCACTGCCCTGCTCCTGGACCGCGCTTCCTGCCTCTACCCCGTCCAAAGATGGACAGATGAGGAGAGGTCACTTTTGTGCTCGAAAAGAATGTGTATGTCTGCCTGGCTGGGTCTTTGCTATTCCCTAGGTCAGGTGGCTCCTCCACCAAGAAGCAGACTCCTGGTCCTGGCCAGGTGGCTCTGTTAGTTGGAGCATCATCCATACACCAAAAGGTTGTGGGTTCGATCCCTGGTTGGGATGTATACAAAAGGCATCCGATCATTGTTTCTCTCTCACATCAATCTCTCTCTCTCTCTCTCTCTCTCTCTCTCTCTCTCTCATCAATAAACATATCCTCGGGTAAGAATTGAAAAAAAGGAACAAGCAGACCCCTGTCCCTGAGCCTCAGAGCTCCGCCAGGGCCAGGCCCTCACCCAGGCCGCGCTGCTCCCACAGCCCCACGGGAGGGCCAAGGGCCAAGGCTGCCCTGCCATGTACTGTACTGACTGCAGACAGGACACCGTGGGGATCAGTCAGAGCCAGATTTCAGGCTGTAACTTGCCGCACAGCTCCTCTCCGAGGGGCCTCTTGCACAAATAGAGGTGGGGCCTCAGGCAGCTGCGTGGACAGGGAGACTCTTTGTTTTCTGGCCTCGGTGCTGACTTGTGTCAGAGGATGAGTCAACCTTGAGGGCTGGGCTGCAGTTCAGGCTTCCAGAGATTCCTTCCCTAGCGCTTGGGCAACGCTGGGACCCGAGGTCCTGTTTCCCCGTGAGCCTCCTCCCCGGCTGATTCTCAGCGGAGATAGCAGGGGGATGTGACGCCCCCTGGTGGTGTCCTGCCACTCGGCCTGGAGCAGCGCAGGCACCGGCTGGTTGGGCTGAAGTGCAGGGAGAGGTTGATCCCCAGGGGAAGGTGGCCTGGGGGGTAGGATTCCTAGGCCAGATCCCAGGGCTTTGGGGGAGGGCTGGTCTGAGAGGCCAAGGCCCTCCTGCAGGGGAAGAAGGCAGAGCAGGGCTGGGGGTCCAAACTGTTGTAAATTCCCTTTGGCCCATAACTTCCACTGGTTCCCACTCCTCCCTCTGGAAAAGGAGGCCGTGGGCTGCACCGTCGCTGTGTTTTCTGGCCGACACTCCGGGATGTCCGCCCTGAGCCCTCAGGCCTGACCATGTCGTTGTGTTTCCACAGCTCACTTCAGTGCCAAGGAGGCGGGCGACCTGTCCACGCTCTTCGACGTCGGTGGCATCACAGGTGCGCCCCCCTCTCCTCCTGTGGGGGTGCAGAAAGAACGTGACGTGGGCCGGTGGCATCAGAGAAAAACAGGGCTCCTGCCCCGCGGGGACACACAGCTCTTATGAGTGGTCTTCCCCTAAGCAGTGGGTACAGAACGCATGTCAAACTCGTTTCGAGGCATGTGGGCCGCCGGCCGCGAGTTTGACATGCTTGGACAGGGAGGACGTTACAGGGAGACGCTCTGCTGGAGGCCCAGGCCAGCACCGGGCAGTGATGGGGCTGAGCTTGGGGTGGGGGTGAGGGGGTACTGTGTGGGTGGGGGGCCGGGGTCATGCCCTGGGCAGCAGTGAGCGGGCAGGTTTGTGTTCCAGGTGGCATCCTGGCGGGGCTCATCTCCGACTACACCAATGGCAGGGCCACCACCTGCTGCGTCATGCTGATCTTGGCCGCCCCCATGGTGTGTATAACCGCAGGGCGAAGTGTGTGTGCATGTGTCCCGCGTGCGGCTGCTGACGGACGTGTGCACCCGGGCACCCCCAACGCTCTAGCCACTGGGGGGCGTGTGTGCGCATCCCTGGGCGCAGGAAAGAGACCCAGACGGGGAGTTCAGAAAGGGATTGGTGACTGTTTGGCTTTGGTGGAGAAGGGGAGACCAGCTGATAAACTTCTTTTTTTTTTAAACCCTCACCCGAGGATATTTTTCTCATTGATTTTTAGCGAGGGTGGAAGGGAGGAGTGGGAAGAGAGAGAGAGAGAGAGGAACATCAATGTGAGAGAGACACATGGACTGGCCACCTCCAGCATGGGCCCCAACAGGGGTGGGGGGAGGGGAAGGAGGGTGGGGGTTGGCCATGGAACCTGCAACTGAGGTACATGCCGTTGACCCAACGCCCCAACCACTGAGCCAAACCGGCCAGGGCTGATCAACTCCTTGGCCAAGGAAAGAACAGGAAATGGAGGTTGGATAGGAGAGACTTTCAGGGGAAAGGAAACAATAAATTACCAGACGTCAGACACCCTCATCCTTGGGACATTTAAGGGCCGTGAGACCTGGTATGAGAAGGAGCAGGAGTGGGGTGACCTGTTGGATACAGGGTAGCACAGGGTTGTCCCAGACTTCCGGGCTCCCGTCCACCACAGGCGGCCAGTGGGAAGCCTGGGCGTGACGCTGCCTCTCCCTTCTTAGTTGTTCCTGTACAACCACTTCGGCCAGAGCGGGATTGCTAGCTCCATAGGTGAGACACTGCGAGCCTGCCGGGTCTTAGGAGGGCACTGCCTTGGGGGTGTCGGTGGGAGGCACGGGGAAGCAGAGGTGCCTAGCCTGATGCCAGGGGTCTCCACTTCCCTAACCGGCTCTCTGTTACGCCTCAGTAATGCTGATCATCTGCGGGGCCCTGGTCAATGGCCCTTACGCGCTCATCACCACTGCTGTCTCCGCCGACCTTGTAAGTGGGCCACCTCCCGGCAGCCAGGGGTCACGTGGGGGTCTTGGTCGGGGCTTCTGTCTCCTGGTTCGTGTTCCCCACACCCCTGTCCTCCCTTCTTGGCCGGTTCAGACAAGGACCTCAAAGGCCTTCGGAATCCCTCTTCCTCTGCTCCGAGCCCCAAGGCTTGTCCCAGGTCGGCGCCCCTTCGGTCCCAGCGCTCGGTGCTGCCTCTCGGTTCGGGCCTCACTCCGCTCTCTCTCTCCAGGGGACACACCAGAGCCTGAAAGGCAACTCAAAGGCCCTGTCCACCGTCACGGCCATCATCGACGGCACCGGCTCCATAGGTCTGTGGCTGGCTCCCGGCTCCTGGCAGCTGAGCACTGAGCCTTGTCTTGGGCATCCTCCTCGGCCTGCTGCCGTCACGTGGGCGGGCCCAGGGTCCCTTGGCGGGAGCCCTGCCCTGACACTGCGCTCCACAGGTGCGGCTCTGGGGCCTCTGCTGGCCGGGCTCATCTCGCCCACGGGCTGGAACAACGTCTTCTACATGCTCATCTCTGCTGACATCCTGGCCTGCTTGGTAAGAGTCCTTGGGGTGCACCGGTGGACATGGTGGGGTGTCCTGTCCTGCCAGGCCAGAGCCCTGGAGGCCCACAGTATTGCCCCGAGGGGCTCTGGGACAGCAGCCCTTTGCTAAGAACCACGTCCCTCCCACGGAGACCCCTGCTGAGTGAGGCTGTGTGCCAGCCTGCTCCCTCCTGCCAGCCCACTGCAGAGAACAGCCCCAGGGACTGACCACTGCTCCCTTCCCTCTGTGCCTCCAACTTCCCGCAGCTCCTCTGCCGGCTGGTGTACAAAGAGATCCTGGCCTGCAAGTCACACCTGAGCCCAGGCACCGGGTGAGTCCTCCGAGGAGCGGGAGCCCCGCCTCCCACCTCAGTTCAAACCCCTGCCTTCGCCGAGGTCTTAGCTTCCTCGCTGGGGGAGCAGCGGGGCGTGGGACGTCGCCCAGGACAGAGAGGCCGAGTCCGGGGGCACGGCGCCCAGTCGGAGCCCAGCTCCGCGCAGACCCGGATGTGTCCCGTGAACGCCCTCCCCGCCCCGGCCCCACTAACCCGCCCTCTGTTGTCCCATGTGTCTCCGTAGCTCTTGTCTCGCCTTAACCCACACGCAGTAGTCGTTCCCTCACGCCCCATGACTTTTGTGAGTATTTCCTTCAAGTCTGTAGCTGATCATGTGCCAGCAGAATGGGTCCTGCATGCAGAGCCTCCTCCTTCCAGTGATTTTTCCCCCCAACTTTCTCTTTCTTCCTGGGGGCCAGTTCCAAAGGCCATCCCGTCCACCCACGCAGAGCATGGTGCTTGGGAAACGATTCCTGAGGCCTGAGCTGCCACCAGGGCCGCAGCCTCCTCGCTGGGGGAGCAGCGGGGTGTGGGATGCCCCCCAGGACAGAGTCCAGGGAAACAGTTTCCTTCTGAACTGAGACCCGGGGGTGCAAGTGCCCCGCAGGCTCAGAAGCCAAGTCCCTGGGCCCCGCTTGCGGTGTGCAGCAAGAAGCAGCTGCCAATCAAAGCCTCCGGGACACAATCGAATGTGGGTCGCTGACCGCTGGTGCACGCTGTCGGTTACTAGCAGCCGGTGGTGGTGGGTGCGCAGGCTGCGCGGACAGGCTGGTGGCTGAGCGGGGCTGTGCTGGGGCTGGGGGCTCTGCTGGCCTTTCTGACTCCGCCCTGAGCAGGAGGCCCTGCTATCGGGAAGCTGGCAGAGCTGTGGACCTGGTGGGGATGGGAAATGTGGGTCCTGGTAACCAGCATGCCCTGTGGGGAAGCGCTTCCCTTTAGGGCGGGTGCCACCCAGGTTCCGGGAGGAACACTGAGAGGAGGCATTGAGGACCTCCGTCTGTTGTGCCCTGGCCTGGAGGAGGGGGGTTGGGGGGGACTGGCCATAGGGCCAGTGGGTCTTCCAGCTGCCAGCCCGTGGGAAGATTGGGGGATGAAGAAACGGGGAAGAATGAACACTTAGGAGGCTCTGCCCTGTGCCTGGAATAGCCTGACGCCAGATCCTTAGCTTACCTCCCAGCCACCTTGAGACGTAGACATGCCCGTTAGAGACGAGAGAACAGTGGCCCAGGGATCGGATGTGCCTCAGTGTCCCTGGTGTGTGGGGTTTGCGCTTCTCCACACGCTGGTCCTTCTCTGAAAGGCCCCTGTCGGGGAGCAGAGTGATGAACCAGGGCAGAGGAGCTCTGGGCGGACACCAGGAACCCCTGGGCAGCCTGCCTTCTCCGCTCACGTTCTCCGAACCTCCCATCCTCACGTGTAAAACGGAGCCGCGTAGCCCCAAGTACCTGCCGCGGCTGATCCGAGGCTGAGGCGACACGGGATACGCGATATTGCTTTTTAAAGCTGCCAGATGTGGTACAAATATCCTAAGGTTTTAATTTAATCTGGCTTTCTGTTCCCTGCTGAAGAGGGGAGAGGGAGCCCTGGTTACAGAGAACAGGGATGAAGGCAATTACGAAGGGACCCCAGGAGCCCGCCCGCCCTGTTCCCACCGCTGGGGCTGGAGATGATTAAACTGTCTCTCTCTCTTCTGCTCTCTCCCTTCCTCATTCAGGTATAAAGAAATATGAGGCCCCAATTGGAAAAGAAGCGTGGAGGGCCCCAGAGTGCTCCCCCTGGCAAGACCATTGAAACTGCGGGAGGCTGAGACAATGCCTCCTGATCTAACACCGGCCCTCCCAGCACACGGGGACCCTGCGGGGCTGGGGGAGTCTCCGTGGGAAGAGGCCGGCCAGGCGGAAGGCGTCTCCATCCTGCAGAGGGAAACACCTGCTCAGACTCCTGCTGGTTCAGATCCCAGGACCGAGGCCGAGGCTGCCCAGGGCCAAGGTGGGAAAAGGCAGGTCTCTCCTTCCCGTGTGGAATTGGACTTCTGTGGTCAGCTTGTACCGACAGATGGGATTCTGACCCGGTTTCGGGGCAGCCCAGCCTCTCTTCGTCCCGTTGTTCACAAGCCATTTATCGCCATTTGAACCTGTTCCTAACTCCTGACTCATTTGGGGTAAAGCACCGTTACTGTATCCGGGGTCAGGACTGGGGGAGGTCCCGAAGGCGTCATTCTTGGGCCTCCTTTGCCTCACCCTTGTCCCAGCCTCTATGTCTCGAGTAGAGACCACACATCAGGGCAGTGCTGTGGGGAGTGGGAGCCAGGACTGAAAATACCAGTGTGTATGTGTTGTTTTTTATATATATTTTTATTGACTTCAGAGAGGAAGGGAGAGGGAGGGAGAGAGAGATGGAAACATCAATGATGAGAGAGAATCATCAATTGGCTGCCTCCTGCATATGCCCCCTGGACTGGGGTTCAAGCCCGAAACCCGGGCATGTGCCCTGACTGGGAATCGAACCATGACCTCCTGGTTCACAGATGGACGCTCAACCACTGAGCCACACCGGCCGGGCCCAGTGTGCGTTTTGATTAAAATGCCAGTGTTTTGATAAAAAAGTGTCAGTGGTTATTGAGTGCTCCCTGGATGCCTGCTCTATTCTGGGAACGGAGTAGACAGCGGACACAGGAAAAGGACTTAACACCCGCGCACAGGGACCAGGGTGACAAGTCTGGGTCACTCAGGAGTCGTCACCTGTGCAGCTGCCTGCAGCTCTCGGCCGTGGCCTTTTCTGCCCTGGGGTTCCGGGTGGACCTGTTCTGCCCCCTCAAGGCCCGGCGTGCGCCAGGCCAGGCCAGCTCGCGGCGTTCTGTCTGACCCCCAAAGCCGCCTCTCAGCGCCAATACAGACTTCGTGTGCTGGCTGTGCAGGTGCGAGGGCCCCCGGGGGCTCTGGGGGCAGTGTCCTGGGGCCTCCAGGTTGTGTGCTGGGCTGGTCACCATGGCCATTCCCAGAGGAGACACGCATGACAACGTTGATGACCGGTGGGGCAGACCGGGAGCTTAAAGCCCCTCGTAAGACACCACCATTGCCTCGGCTGGGACACGGGGCCAGTGCATTAGCCGGATGCAACTTCTCCATGTGAAATCGGCAGTACCCGCCCCAGTGGTGACATACACATGGGTTTGAAAGCAGGAGGACTGAGCGGATGCTATAAAAATTAATCTGAGACTAATCTGATGCTATAAAGATTTACCTGACATCATCCCTCAGGGGCCGCTAGGTGGTGCCCTCACCCCGTGGAAGAGACCAGCATGAGCCTGGGCTCCGTCTATCCTCAGGGGGGACCAAGGAGCAGAGGTTTCTCCACTCGCCAAATGCCAGCTTGCTTTCCGCTGCCGCTGCCCACGGGTCAGGGTAAGAGGGGGGGATCTTGCTCCTCTCTGGCACCTTTGAGGTCTTCTCTCCCCCAGCCTCACTCGCGTTCGGCCTGTTTCGTCATCTAGAAAACAGTAACATTACCTACCCTCAGCACAGGTGTGAAGGGAGACAAATGGGTATAAAACGCTGCCCGCCCCGAAGAGCTTGTCTGGTGAGGGGCTGAGACAGGAATGGGAACATGCTGACAGACGACACAACACGAGAGAAAACACGGGATCGTAGGGCCTCCCGGGGAGCCCAGCCCCGAAGGGAGGGGCTGGCGGGAGGTGGTCCCGTGGCAGAGCAGGAACGAACAGGTGAGAAAGGCACGAGGAGGAGGAATGGTGGGGCGGGGGCTGCCAGGTGGCTAAGGTCGTGGGGGGAGCAGAAGAGGGAGGCAGTGAAGGTGATACCAGGCCTCACGTGCGAGGCGGGGCTGGGACATGACAGGGCACACCCGCTCCTGCCAGCAGGTAAGGGTGGCACCAGGGAGAGGCCAGCGTGGGAACTTGGGGCCCGGCCACTCGGGCTGGAGGTGGGCGTTTGGGGAAACACCCGGGACCTGGCCTTCCGCACTGTCTCCCAGGTCCCAGCCCCACCTCCGCCCTGGGCGCCGGCTGTTCCCAGAGGCCTGGTCCCCGCCTTCTCCCTGGGCCTCAGCATTCACTGGGGGCTAATGCAGGAGAGTTCCATTAATTAGTTATTCATTTAATTTAACTTCACATTTGGTCTCAATTAAGCTTAAAGTGTTCTTCCTTATAGATGTTACAATAGCACTTGTAATTAAAAAGCAATAACTCTTCGCATTTCTCCTTTAGCGATCCACTGGGAGGCTTGGCTGGCAGGGGGCAGGGGAGGGAGGCGGCAATGGAAAGAAAAGGAAAGGGAAGGGAAGGGAAGACGCTCTGGGTAGATGCAAGCTCAAGGAGGCTGCCACCAAGACTGACGTTGGGGGAAGGAAATTCTTCACATGCCCAGGGTGTGGGAGTGGGAGCCGCCAGAACTGGAGAGCGATCCTGGGGATAAAGGGGTGCACTTTGTGCAACGAGGGGTGGGCTTGGGAGAGGCTGGAAGGTGGAGGGTGGAAGGAGGCACCCCTTGGAAGAGGAGGAGGGGGACACGTATTGGTGGGAGGCAGAGCGGTGCCCCATCCCCCAAGCGGTCATACCCCAACTCCCAGAACCAGTGAACCCAGTGTCTTAGGCGGCAAATGACACTGCAGATGTGAGGGAGGACTGTGAGCGGGGGTGGAGGGGTGGGGGGCGGGCACCCTGGGTTTTCAGGGCGGGGCCCAAGGTAATCACACGGGCTCCTTAGAAACCAAAGAGGGAAGCAATTGTCCCGTGTCAGATAAGAAGACGCTGGCTTTGGAAGAAACCGGAAGGCGCATCAGAGGAGGAATGCGGGCAGCTTCCAGAAGCTAGAAAAGGCAAGGAAGTGGATTCACCCCTAAGGCCTCCAAAATTTTTTATTTTAGCCTCGTGGAACCCAGACTTCTGGCCTCCAGAGCTGTGAGATCATAAATCTGTATTGTTCTGAACCACGAAGGTTGTTGAAGTCAGTTCCAGCAGCAATAGGAAACTATTACGTATTCTTCGTGTAAAACGAGGGCAATATCAATTTGAAGACAGGAAAACGGAAGAAGTCCCCAAAGATGAAAAACAGTGGAGGGGTGTCCAGGTGGTATGTAGGTACCACATACGGGCCACTTGTCACTCCTCCGCGTTCTCTGACGGCGGGAACGGGGCTGTGTGCATTGCACATCCTTACGATACCCAACAGGACGATGAAAACCAGGAAAAGGAGCTTTATCCTTCTGTCCACGGAGTTGGGCACCGGTTTTGATCCCTGCTGTCATTTCTTAGGCCCCAGGAAACTGAGACAAGGGTGCATGTTGGGGTGGGGATTTGGAAACATTTTTTTCCCCCCTGGAGCTACCATGATCTGCTGGAGACAAGAGATGAAGAAACAAGTACATTCATGGCTTGTGGCTTTGACTCTCCCATTGGCATCTCTGAAAACAAACAAGTATAATTTTGCAGGGTGGACAGCGCCTTAGAGAGAGATGGCTGTGCAAGTCCTTCTGACAGCTCAGCCTAGGAGCTGCCCATGGGTATTGCTAAGCAAGAAGAAAGTCAGCATCTAACAGAGCAAAGACCTTCCCCAAACCCATGTGATCAGTGAACTTGTCTCTGAGGCCCCGCCTGGTGTTTAGCGGCTCTGCCTGGATTCCTGGCCAATCTCTAAGGTTCTAGGTTTTCCACTAGACCCAGTGGCTTCTCTTCGGTATTTCTGTCAACGGGATATGCATATCTTGACCTTGGCCCCTCCTTTCTCTTTGTTTTCATTTTATGTGGTCTGTAGAGATGAAGAGCTTGGCTGGAGCCAAACTGCTTGCCCCCTATTTAACCCCTTGCTAAGTGGCCTCAAGCAAAGCACCTCCCCACGCTGGGCCTGCTCCCCATCTGTGACATGGGGACATTAAGAGTGCCTACGTCATAGGCTTGCTATGAAGGTTACAGAATACTTACAGAGAACTTAGAGAAATGTCTAGCACATGTTTGCTAAGCATAATACAAACTGTGACTTCTGCATGTGAAAAATGGACTATTCCCAAATACAGGGATGGAAATAGAGATCAGGGATTGAACTCTATGAACTATAAGACCCCTTCCAATCTTGGGTTTTGTGCCCATGAGAGGATAATCAGCATTTTTAAAAAAATTCACCCCCATGTGGTTCTGGTTCCCACATCTGGAAACTTGCTCCTCTGTAAGTAACAACAGCCACATCCTTAAAGGTTTAGGCCAAGAAGTTATGATTAAATGCTTAGGAATTCCGTAATGAAACTTTTATCATTTTGGGGATATGGATTAGGGAAATGGTGGGTACACATAGCTAAGAAACAGTATTAACCAATGGAAAAATAAGGCGTTTGAAACCCAAAAGCGATCTTTAAACTATCTGAGAAACGAGGTATGGGGGGTCCTGGCGTCCAGTTCGAGCCCCTCTGCTGACCAGCCGTATCTCCCTACCGGTCTCTCACGTCAAATTGCGGCAGGTTTCTTTACACATTGAATTAACGTCAAAGTAAAACAGAAAAACTTCAACTGCAGCAGCAATGACATAGTTTATTTTTAAAAAAAGTTTGTCTTAGAGAACACAACGAGAAATGAAGGACTTTATGTTAGAATAAAAAATATTTAAAAGTAATTTGGGTGCCTTCCTCCCGGGACAGAGTTAGGAAGACTGTCTAGACCAGGGGTCCTCAAACTTTTTAAACAGGGGGCCAGTTCACTGTCCCTCAAACCGTTGGAGGGCCGGACTATAGTTTTAAAAAAAACTATAAACAAATTCCTATGCACACTGCACATATCTTATTTTGAAGTAAAAAAACAAAACGGGAACAAATGCAATATTTGTATTTGCATGTGGCCCGCGGGCCGTAGTTTGAGGACCCCTGGTCTAGATGCCTCCGCGCCCAGTTCTCAGATTGGCTCACTCTACCAGGACTGATGCTATATACCCAACAGCGATGCGAAGTGTTGAATGCAGGGCAATGGGGGTGTGTGCAGCAGGCGTGGGTAGCTCTGCAGACCCTAGTGACTGAACGTCGGTACAATGACTTTGATGACTTTATAAATTAAATATCTGATATCATGCATCAGTAGAGAATGTTAGCTTTACTCTCATTTTTATGAGAAATGTAAGGAACTTGTCAAGAAATGACCTAGGGCTTTTTACTGGCTTGAGATTTCTAAAACACAACACACAGCG